AGACATCTCTAACTAAATTCACGTTTGTATCAAATCCTCCTACCGGAGAAGCCGATTCGTATGAATCCGGAGTAAAAGTAAGTGCAACAGCACAGAGTAGTATTCAAAATTTCAAGTCCTTCTGACTTTCCTGCGCAAAGCAGAAGCCGGCGCATTACGTGCCTGGTGGCCCTTCAGGTCTCCTACCCATGGTAGTAGCCGGCTCACTTTGAGCCAGGTAAAAATAAAATCACCTAGGACAGGATCCTTCTGATCAATAAAAAATAGTCTCTCACTTGAAACCCACATATATTATTCCATTTTCTCTTTCCTTTCGATCCTGTCATTCCCTTGATTTCTCGGTACAATCACCTCCAACATTTTAGGTTTAGCACATGTTTCTTCACCATTTTTGAGCCGTCATCCCATATTCTTTGGTCCCTCGGAAACTTATCACTTTTTAGCTACACTCATTTTTTCTGGTATTTTTTTGACCCACTCAATCCTTACATTTTTTGGTCCCTCGGGCCGGATTCGAACCTTAACGCACCTAAGCAAGCAAAATGGTAAAGAAACAACGCGGTAGGCATTCACCCGAAATAAGTGAAGAGGAGAGAATGGCAGAAGCATTAGAGACTAAGCGAGCCACTATATTTTCTAGGGTACAGGCTATTGAGAAAACGTTCAAAAATGAACTTTCGGACATTAACTGTGAGCAATTCAGACCACTTTTCGATCGCTTAGCAATATTCCAGGAGAAATTCGACGCAATCCAAACTGAATTAATAAATCTTAACTCGAATCTTCCACACGAATCGAGAGTACGAACGGATCAAATTCAGGAGGAATTCGATGAAATCATTCTTGCAGCAGAAGTAACCTTTCTCTCAATTACACCTAAAATCTTGCGTAATTCTACCCCAACCTCTGAGAACACTTCGGCCAAGTCTCAATCATCATCTACGGCGAACGTTAGGCTACCCAAATTAGAGTTGCCCCAGTTTTCGGGCAAATTGGAAGACTGGCGGTCTTTTTACAACCTGTTTAGCGTATCCGTGCATGATGTGAAGGAGTTAGCAAAAGTGAAAAAATTTCAATACTTGCTCACTTCCCTGAAGGGTGAGGCGCTAGATTTGGTTAAAGGGTTGGATATCACTGATTCCAACTACGATGTAGCATGGCAAATCCTGTGCCAACGTTTTCAATGCGAGCGAAGGCATATATTTCACCACTTTAATGGATTACTCAACCTTCCTGAGATTAAGGACGTTACGCATATTCCGTCGTTCCTCACCAAGTATAGGGAGCACACCCAGGCTCTTGAAGGGCTAAAACATGAACTCTCTGAATATGCATCCATGTTGACGGCCGTAATTGTCCAGAAAATGTCATTTTATTTTAGAAAGCGCCTCGATGACTTTCGCGGTGCTGAGGTCAAATATCCGACCATCGAAGAAATAGTTGAATTTTTGGAAAAGGAGTGCTTGCAGCTGGACGGCACCTCCGCAAAATCAAGTGACCATAAGGCCAAACCCAACCAAACCAAGCAAGTTCACCTATCCAAAACCGAAGATACGAACCAATCTAGCGGCAAATCCTACCCACCTGCGACATGTCCACTTTGTGAAGCTGACCATATACTTTTCCGATGTGATGCCTTTCTTAAGAAATCCATTAATGACCGCAGGGCAATGGTCAAATCCAAGAAACTATGTTTCAATTGCA